GACATGTTTTATTGATTATAAAACCAGTATACCAGATGAACTGCCCAGAACACACACACACAGAGGTTTGTAATTATGTCTTTGTGGGGACTCTCCATTCATTTCTATGAGGAAAACTCTAATCCCAACATGATGACCTTAACCCCTACCCAGCCCCAACCTTAACCATAAGTAACCAAAGTACAGTAAAACCTTGGATTGCGAGCATAATTCGTTCCGGAAACGTGCTAGTAATCCAAAAAAGCACTTGTATATCAAAGCAATTTCTCCCATTAAAAATAATGGAAACTCAGATGATTCGTTCCATAACCCAAAAATATTCATATAAAATGATTAATACAAAATATAAAGTAAAAATACAAAAAACAAATTAACCTGCACTTTACATTTGAAAAGAATCGTGGATGGTGTGAGAGAGACGAGAGAGAGAAGAAGAGGAGGGTTATTTTGTATTACGACTTTCACTTTAAATAATGGAATCACTGCTGTCTGTTGGCTCACTGGAATCTTTTTCTTGTTGTGCAACTTTAACAAGGAACCCATCCAATGACAGCCACTTTTCAATTTCGTGGAAATGTGGACATTGCATTGTCGTTAAACAGATTCATTGCTGGCACTGCTACACCCTTATTCGGGTGGTGCTTTTCTACTAAATTTTGACTATACAAGTGAGGCACGCCGACTGAGGCCGAGCATGGGAGATGATTACCCACAATCCCGCAGCGAAACAGAGAGAGAAGAACCATCGGCTCACTCGTGATCACGTGATGCTCGGCAGACAAAGTGTATACGTAATACTCATATTGCAAGATCTTGCTTGTTTATCAAGTTGAAATTTATTTTAAAATTTTGCTCGTCTTGCAAAACACTCGCAAACCAAGTTACTTGCAATCCGAGGTTTGACTGTACAAGACTTTTGGCATTTTTAATTTTTTGATTGCATTCACAGATCTGCAACTGGAAGATGGTCCCCACAACATAAAAAAACAGGTTTTTATTACATTGTGGGGGACATTTGGTCCCCACATAGAGTCATGTGTTGCTTAAGTGGATGGTGTGGCCTACTATGCAACTAGGCCATATGGTATAGTCTAAAAAAAACATATGCATTATAGTAAATACATAAATCAGTAACATAATTTATCAAAAATGATGTACTGTACTTAATTGTATGTGCTATACTTATATACTGGCAGCACAGTAGGTTTGTTTACACCAGCATCACCACAAACATGTGAATAATGCATTGTGCTATGACATTACATAATGGAACCACCATCGTACAGTATATGCGGGCCGTCGTTGACCTAAATGTCGTTATGTAGCGTACTCCTATTGAGCATCTGGTCTTTTGTCCTTCAGCAGAAACTATTGGCCTTCTCACTGTCTTTAAAGAAAGGTCTTCTGCTAAAACATGGTTTTATAAAATGCTTGTGATGGAACTGTGAGGATATGTTATAGGTGGGCTGGGTTTAACGCCAGACAGTGGCAGCTTGGTTTTGTCAATACAGAGGTAGTGCATAAGTGCCTCCCACAGACTTGTGAGCTGCCTACAGTGAAAAATGCACAGCTTGTCCAGCTGGCACTGGCTCTCGTGCATTATGCCATGTGAATTGTAATGTGATAATAAAGAAATTGCCTTGGCAGGGAGTGTATTGCTAAAGCGCACATCTTAACTTTGTAACATCCAAACGTGGTTGTAGGACAATGCAGACACTAATACAGAATTTGAAACAGCCTCATGCAGTTTAAACCTGTGGAAACATCTAAAAACTTAAACTTAAATTTTCTTCATTTAAACATTGATATAAATCTGCACAAGTCCCACTACCAAGCATACTAAAATTTACATATGTTGATTAGTATATGTATTGTATATGGAAACTGATTATGTGAGTCATATATGGTTTAATGAAATAGGCAAATGACAGTTATAAAGAAAACTGCTCCAGTAGAGCAGGTTCATTGGTCATGGAAACTTATGTTTTATTTTAACTGTTTCAAAGCATCACAACAGCATAGGACAGAAGGCATCAACAAAGAAGAACACTTAACAGGACAGTTAACCTCAGAAATGACCACAGAACTGAATCAGCATCTCTGTAAGCCCCTTTTAAAAAAAGCATCACAAAACTGGTGTTTAAGGCAGGATTTACATTTACAAGCTGCATGTATCCACAGTCAACTCATGACAATGCATAACATGGTGTAAGGAGCATGAAACCAGGACCCCAGAGCAATTGAAAAAGTAATATGCTCTGGTAAGTCATCTTTCACCATTTTTCCTGGACAGCTTTCATTTCGAAAAAGCCAAATGATACCTTCAGCCCCCAATGTCTGTTGGTATGTCTTGGGGGGATCATTAGATCCAGTGATTGCTCTGCATTGTATGACAGCCCAGTAATATGCCAGTGTGCAGGACCAGATTCACCTTATGGTGCAAACACTGTTCCCGTATGATGTCGCCATATTCCATGATGACATAGGCCTCAAGTTCACTGCTAAAAGTCTTTTCATGATCGGCAGGATAAAGTCAGATCCATTCTGCGGTCTCCCCAAATCTAAACATCATTGAACCTCTATGTGAGATTCCAAAGCACAGAAATGATATATATTTCTTCCTCTTTCATCCTCCTTCTGCTGTGTCACTCTACACATGGTTTGGGACTGAAAGAAGCTGTTCTGATGGCAAAGCCCAGCTTCTTATTTGGTCTTCAATATTAATATATATTTTTTTGCATTATTTTGTACACTTTTTGTCTCATCCATGATTTTCATTTTAATGGTAGCAATAATATTAATAATTGTTGTTGTTCATTCAGACCCTGACCCAGTTAAAAGGTGAATTAAAATTATTTTTATTTACAGAATTTACTGCATTATTCTGATACTAGTATTGTTACATCCTAAATGTGAAATTCTTATGAAGTGGAACACATAATACATTTAACACAATTTAAGCCTCAAAGCAATTATCTTATTTACCTTAAAGGGGAAGTGCAAAAGGATTCAATTACCACACATTATGTTTGGCAGGGGACCTACCTCACATAAAAAAGTTAATTAATCAGGGCTATGTCAATTTCCCTAAGCCATGCCGTTTTGCAGAGAGGTAATTAATCACAAATTTCCCAACACACAGCATGCACAGAGAACTGCAGGAATCATTTATTGGCGCTCATTTTTCAGATAGGTAGATGAGAGCTGTAGTGGTGAAACTACAAGTGTATAGATTGTCAGTATATTAGTGTGAGTTTATGCATTTTTAATAAAATTAAACACATAAACTAACAGCAATACAAGCACAACAACAACAAAAGAAAGAACATCAATAATAATTATAATAATAACAATAATTCATAATTTTATTATTATTATTATTATTTAAGAGCTGTGAAATTACAAAGAAGAGAACACTAGAGCCTACAACTCTTTCTGGACTGAACGTAAAATATATACCATAGCAATACAATAAATAATTGTCCCCACTGGTCACACCATCTTCTAGTCCACAGAGTGTTCCTGACCAGGGAGGTATTCCACAAAGCAGAATTTCCCAGTTAGCTGGATAACTTAAGCCAAATGTAAAAGCTGTTGAATAGGAGGAGAAATACATTACATTCCTATTGGACAATCCTTACATTTGGTTTAAGTTTTTTGGCTAATGAAGAAGTCCTGCTTTGTGGAATCTCCCTAGCTCAGCAAGCATCTCTTGCCAGTTTACTTGGCCAAATGAACCTCTGAAGTCTAGGCATTCACACTTCACACATACTTTTATTGCTTGATTGTCTGTTATCAAGCAACAATTAACCAAATGATTGATTAATCATTCAACAATTTAATCCAAATGTAGTCCACATGTTTTCACTATCTGACTGTAAAATCATCCAGAGATGATTATGAAAACTAACCCATGACCCTGACCAGGAGGTCAGAAGATGGATGGATGGATGGATGGATGGATGATGCATCTTAGATCTTCTGAGTAACAAGCATTTTGATTTAATATTAAAATAGTGATAAAATCTATATTTTATTTTAATTCATGTTAATTGTGAAAATGGTTTGCAATGTTGCCAGTTGGCCTTGGGCTCCTGCAGATTTCTATAGTTATTATTATTTTTCCCACGTATAACTGCATAAAAATGCATTATATTGAATTTAATTGAATGTTATAATGCAAAAATCAGTCTGAGCTTGGTGCTCAGGTCAAGACTATCATAACCTAAATGTGTTGTTATGTTGTTAAAATGTACAGATTTGAAAAACTAGCTTTTCAGATTTTTCACTGCTATGATTTTTGGTTAATACTCACTGGAATATTAACGTATTATGCACAAGTTGTTAAAGTAAACACACTTTTTTTCTAGCATTAAAATTCTGCTTGAATTTTTTAGGAAAGACTTTTACCACAAGGTTAACCCTGATGCCCTGGCCAAATTACAGTTCAGCCCCCATGACAAAATGGAGGCCATTTAATCATTCTCCAGTATAATATCCAGAAAAATAATGTCTTAGCTCATCACCCAAATAGGCTGATGTGTGGTGAGCTTTGACACAGCGAATGATTTCTGTGCATCATTCAGGTGGGTTCTGTGTTTCATCTTTGTGTATATGCATGTACATACATGCATATACAGGTCATGGTTAGAGTCCAGGGTCAGGCAGTGTCCAGAGCATTTGGGGTCAAAGGTCCAATGGCGATGCGGTTACTCTGTAGGCCAAGGGATTCAAACCCATGACCAGCAAACAGGCAGAGATTCCCAGGCCATTGAGCAACCACCTCCAACTCTGGATGGAAAGAGTTAAGAGCCCAGCCAATTATTCATGGTTTTTACTAACTGCTCAAGCTCCTTAACATCCAATGCTTTGATGGTGAAAATGCAAAAGGGTAACATAACACTATTCTTCTCCCTCCTTGCAGCTAACCACATACAGTATCTTTATTCAGGGACATAGGTGCTTGGTCTTACTCTTTGTCACCTGTATATCCTCCACAGTTCCAGGCTTTCCGTATCCAGCTGCAACGGCAGCAGCTGCGTACAGAGGGGCCCATTTGAGAGGCCGAGGGCGGACCGTCTACAACGCGTTTCGGGCAGCCGCCCCCCCGCCACCTATTCCTGCCTATGGAGGGTGAGTGTCCCAGCCTTTGCATCCGTTTTATACCTTAGAACTATTGCAGAATCATAGTTTCATGACATTCCTATGTACTTCATCATTTGTGTGTCCAGAAAGTCTACAAGTCAAGTTAACATAATTTTTGCACTTTGTGAACTGGGCCTGTAAATAAATTCAGCAGGGCTCAGGCCATGCATGGAACATCTGAGAATTTTTATGAATTTTAAATTCAACTGGAATAAATTGCATCCAGGATTAGTAAACCAGGTCAACCAAGTCACAGGTAAACAAATTAGACAGCATTTTCCCAGTACTCAAACGGTCTGCTATTGTTCAACAACTCTGGGAAGATGGGTTTCATTGAGTTTCCTTGTAAACATGCACTAACTTTTTCATTATTATTATTATTTTGTGTATATTTTCAGTGTTGTGTACCAGGATGGGTTTTATGGTGCAGATATTTATGTAAGTATTCATTGATTAACATTTTATGTACTGTATCACTTTGCTTCCTTAATATGTTAGATTAAACTCATAGTTACAAGTTATGGTTCTATTAAAAGAAACAATTGTGTCTGAAAGTGCACAGTGCCTAAACATGTGGAATCACCTCTCCACTCCATGTTTGTGGAATTGGCTTTAACCAGAGCTATGAGTGGAGTTCATATGCTCCTGCAATATTCCTTATGCCTGCTGGAATTAATGATTTTTCAAAATAGATGGATGGACTCTTGAAAATGTAATCTTTCTCCCAGCCTAGTTACATAAATGCCAAGCAATTTTTAGAAGAATTTATTTACGTGTGCATAAATCTACAAAAAGAAATCTATGAGCACATAAATTTACAAAATTTACTTTCATGCATCAAATATGTATTAGTCAGTAGGGAAGGCTAAAACTGTAAACAAAAAAACTTTCTCACCCACAAACCGCTGGAAATTCAGTATCATTCCATTGAAGTTGTGACATTGCAACTAACATGAAACATAGCTTCATAATTAGATGCATCTAACTAGCTAAATATTTAATATTGATCAACATATTTTATCCGTTTAGCTAAAATCCCTGAGGCTAGGGATCTGTGCCAGCAACTGGAAGGTTGCTGGTTCAAATCCCGTGAATGCCCAAAGTGATTCTACTCCATTGGGCCCTTGAGCAAGGCCCTTAACCTGCAATTGCTTCCTCCTGGGTATGATGTTAATCTACATCCAGCCCTATAAGGAGGTCCAGTCAGTGGAAAAAACTCACACTGGTCCATTCAGACTACTGTGGTGCTGAGGTATCACCTGCCACATGGCTGCACTCAGGTTCTCAACCCTGAGGTGGTTTGTTATATGGTGGGTGCACAACGCACTGCAATCAGTGCATGCTCCTTACCTACTGTACCTCGCTAAAATCAACCTTCAGCAGAGATCTTCTAAGTGGGCAAGTAAGTTACACTAAGAACAAAAGATGTAGCTTTACAAATATAGATGACAGTGTTTAATGCAAACGTTGTTCTTTTTACTCTTCATGCTCAGTACTTGTGTGTTTCTGGGTGGTGAGGGATTATCTCCTATGAGAGACATGTCAGTTTTTCCATGTGATGCATGGCTATGTTACTACCCTGTATGAAATGCAGTTAGATATCCCTTTTTTCTTTCACTTTTATCTGGCATTTTTTCCCCAGTTATGCTTTGTGATTAAAATGGATAGTCAGTACAACATGAAACGCATGAAAATTACAGGATTGTGAAAACCTGATCCACACAGTTTTCTCTTCTCAGTTATCATTAGAAGAGTGCAGTTTTGGCTGAGATTGATTGCTGCAAATTTATATGGACATTAAATATGCATTAGACAGTATTAGGAAACATATTTATTGCAAGCCATTCCGTATGGACTGTTTGAGTATATTTTATACATTTTTGATGAGAGAGAGGAAATTAAGCTGTGGAAGTGTAAAAGAGAAGAATGTACATTTAAAACCTCAAAGGCACTAGGGAAATTGTTAAACTGACAAGCAATCTCATATTTGATACCTACATATTATAGTACACTTGACTGAACAAAAGATGAATTATCATCCAGATGATGTAACTAAGACATCATAATTTATTATTATTTCTATGTATCAAATGGCACTGCGGCCTCACACCTCCGGGGTTGTGGGTCTGATTTCTGGCCCCGTTCTGTGTGTGGATTTTGTATGCACTTCTTTTCTTTCCCTGGGATACTCCAGTTTCTTAGCGCAGTCCAAAAACATGAGGTTAGGTGGATTGGTGGCTCTAAATCCCCCTTAGTGTGTGTGAGTGTGAGCCTTGGGATGGACTGGCAACCCATCTGGAGTGTCTTCCTGCCTCCTGCCCTCTGCTTTCTGGGATGGGCTCCAGGCTCACAGCAACCCGGTTATGGGAGGTGGACGGGGCAGCATATTACGTTGTATATGTAAATAATGTCATTGACGGAACCCAGGTTTCTTTTGGGCCAGATAACTAACTGGTCAGAGAGACTATTAGTTGCTATTAGCTGTCGCTCTCCAGTTGCCCCACTACATTGTTTGATTAGCAGTAATTTAGTAATAAACAGATGAGTAGATGACAAGCAGGTAGAAATGCCATTGAATACCACATATTACTTTTATAGATTTTGTTTGTAACATGAGGGACACATACAAAAGGGTATTTTCTCCATGTATGATTTTTACATGTGCACATTTTTCGCATTAAATTAGCTTTTTTTTGATGTGTGTAGTGTAGGTTAAACTATCAGGCATAGTTTTACAAAGTTCAGCTTATGCACCTCACATAAAGGGATAATTTGGTCCAACTCTTTGAATATGTTATTAGTCAGTTGATTGAAGAATTTCGTAATGCATTGTCAATTATGAATCCCACCTTCCATAAAGAGGCACATCATGCATTAAGAAATTTCCTGTAGAGTAAGTTGGAGAATCCTGACATGTTGGGGAGTTCAAAGTTATTTCTAAGGTTTGCTATATCATAATTCCCGGCGAGAGAGTGAGGCTCTGCGGGGTCGGACTCTGCGGCTGCGACCGAAGGGTCACTGTTACACATCCCATGATCGGCGGAATGATTTCAATACTGGACTCTTGAACAAGGCCCTTAGCTCCAATTGTTCCTGCTTTCTGTGCGTCGCATTGGATAATAGAATCTGATGGATAAATAAATAAATAAATAAATACATTATAAGAGATCGGCTGTCAATAGACGTATCCGCACAAGGAAACATTTAATGTTTGTTGTATTTTCCAGGGTGGTTATGCTGCCTACAGATATGCCCAGCCTGCCACTGCCACAGCCGTGGCCTACGGCGATAGGTAAGACATTATCACGACGTGCCATTCACCTCCAGGATCAGCCTGAAGGCTTATGTGATACCGCTAAACACACAACTTTAAACAGCTATTTACAGCCGTGTCTCCTTTACCGGAGACTCATGTGGATCTTGGGTCAGTTCCCTCTTTCCATTTCCAATAAGCATCAAGCACAAAAGGCCAGGATTGTTTATTAAAATTCCATTTTCCAATTTCGACAGGGCCTATTGTGATGCACAGTGCAGTAATTGGCAAATAAGATCAATTGAGATGTCACTGTAAATGTAATTGGCAAATTAGCAGTGGTGGCTTAGTGCGCCAGCAGTAACTACCTAATTAAACAGGGCAGAATTGACAGTTTTATGAATAACTTAATTGTTCAGCAGAAGAAAAAGGCTGAAAACATACTTTAAAAAAAAAAAACTATATGCATTATTTGCTGCTCTTATTGTCATACTTTTTGTTATTATCAATATATCTTTTTTATTAGCCAACACATTCACAATTCATGGTGCACATACATCAGCAGCAGAGCATAAAATAGGTTTTTCATAAGGGTAGCCTTTAAGTTGAACTTGTAATCATTTTTGTGTTGTTTAAATGGTGTCAATGTCATCACTTTGGAGGAGTGGTTCGAACACGCATATACACTTGTGTATGAGGGGCCAGCACTGCTGTAAGTCAAATAAGCCTTGCATGCAGGAGTTTGCAGCCAATGAAATCTTAGGGTTTGATACAATCTTGCATGAGAGTAAAGCTAGCCAATCTTGGGAGCTTTATAAACCACATTCTATATAACGCTGCAGCAGCACACATCCAGAGATGGATCGTGCAGAGAAGCTGCAGTACTGCAGTATTATCAGCTTAAATTCTCTATTAATCCATATCCATCAGATCTTGTCATTGCTAAATATGGCTAAATATTAATGTTGAAAGGGGGCGATATGACAAAATAATAACGTGATGCTATCAGGCTGTCTGGCAATATAATACATTTATTGTTTGTTTTTCCCCCTAATTTATGCTGTATGGATCTATTAGTGATTTTGTCCTGCTACCAATCTATAAAATCTATATATAAAAAAAAGTTGCACTTTGATATTTTCAGGTATTGATGGTGAATGTTAAATTGGAGCGTGAGTAAGCCTCCCTAACAGCATTTTACTCTTTGATCTAGCTCTTTTACCTGTAAATGAAATCTTAAGGATAGTTTTGCTAGAAAAACCAAGGTTATCTGCCTTGGATAATGTCAATACAGCAAAGGCCCTTTGGGGCTCTGAACCTGCATCCTTTGGATTAGACCTTTATGTCAATAGCCACCAAGCTACCTGCTCACCAGTGTTCAGCATCCTTGGCACCCCTACCCAGTGCTAACCTTAACTATAGGTAACCAATCAAAATATAAGACTGCTGGCATTTTTAATATTTTGATTGCATTTACAGTTTTTTCATAAAAATGAATTTCCACTTATGAGGACTGAAAAAATGTCTCCAGACTTTTTAGTCATATTGTGGGGAAATCCAGTCCACACAATGTAATATATACATGACCACTCACGCACATGCACACACACAGATTAGGTGTCTATATCTTTGTGGGGACGTCCATTCAGTAGTTTGATTGCAGTCATAGACTTTTATAAAATCGAGTTCCCTTTGTGGGACCTGAAAAACTGTCCCCACAAGCTTGAAAATATCAGGTTTTTATCACATTAGGGGGGCCAAATGTCCCCACAATGAACTATATACATCACCACACACACACACAGACACACACACACACTGTGTCACTGAATGTAATATCCTCCTGAGACCCAAGGAAAAACAGTGTCCTTCAATTATACTGTAGGTTATTTCTCTTTGGAGGAAATAAGACATCTTTCAATTTAGATTTTTTCAAATTTATCTTTATTTTTAATTTCACAGCATGTCCTCTTTAGTGTACAACAGGAATAAATATGTTTCCTTACATCAGTGAAAAGATAGATGCAAAAACAACATGTCCACTACAATGGACATAAATGAATGGGTGGGGTCTCAGGAGGATATTGAAGAAGCAGTGCTTATTCTTACCCGTCTATAGATGGAAGCAAACTTCCCCAACTTGAATATGAATTGCGCCTTGCACAAATAAAAAAGGTTATAAAATTAGAATGTCCTAAAACAAGAAAAAAAAATAGATAACTCAAATAAAAATATCTGCTTTCAAATTATTGTCATGTTGCCCAACCTATATATTTTGTATATTTCCAGTGATCATTGTTATATTTTTTATTTTGATACTTATAAAAAAAAACATTAAAATTAAAGATTTTAACTTTTAAACTTTAAATGTGGTGTCCATAAATATTCAGTGTGTTTGGTCCATTTCTAACAGACTGTAGATTATGGTTCTACACACTTCTTGCACTGTTCATAATGTGGACTACACGACCAAAAAGCCTGAAGATTGGCTTGCATGCAAGATTTAAAATGTTCTCATGTTGCATGCACGGGTAAATGTCCTGGTGGTTGTTTTAATCTTGCATGGTTAGCTGCTGGTATCATATATGTATTTATACATATGTGTGTGTGTGTGCGCACGTGTGTGTGTGTGTGTGTACTGTATATATATATATATATATACTGTATATATATATATATATATACTGTATATGTGACATTAGGAAGACAAAACTCCACATTGCTTGGTTTTTAATTATTTTTAAGTTTTATTGTTCCTTGCTTGTAAGACTGTAATAGATCCTTGGATTTCATTGGCTGTAATCTTGCATGGTGTGTAATTATCTTGCATGCAAGTTTTTCAGGAATTTTGGGAGTGTTAGTAAACATTGTATATGACCCACCTAAGAAACATTGTGGATGTGTTCTGCATCTGCCATCAGGAGGTCTTCAGTTCAAGTACTTGTCATCACCACAGTGGAGCATTTTTTTTATAAATCTACATGTGATCCTTGCAATAGTATATTATACAATGAATATAAATGCTATTGTGCAGCAAATTATGGATACCCTTATTCTGGTGGTCAAATACCATAGAGGCTGTCGTGTGTGAATGTGTATGTCTGTGTGTCTGGAAGTTTATTACACCCACTGTGCAGTTAGCCTAGACGCAATGTCGCTGTTCATATTCTGGCTTTCAAAATTTACTCAGAGTGTTCTCAGAGTAAATTCACTGTTCTCAACGCATTCAACGAAGCACCCAGGACTGAATCATTATCCATGATATGGATCAGTCATGTTCTTAAATAATAGCATGGAACCCTGATGCTACAAGAAGCAGGGAAAGACCATAGTGACACGGGGATCATTTCAGTCAGCCCCTTATTTGCTGTATTGGTTGCAACATTCTCCTCTGTCACTTGTAAAAGATTAGTAACTCCTCTGAGCTATTTTAATCTTCTGAAGCATTCCAATTTTAATTTAATAATTTTACTTTATTTTCGATTAGTTATTAATTTTTGTCTTTGACTTAATGTGCATTTTCTTTAAATACATGTATGTTCTACATTTAATTGTTTTTTTTGTTCTTATCTTTTTGATTAATTAAAATTTTGACTCAGATATTATTTAAATACTGTTACTTTTTGCACAGGATCACTGTTCAGGCTCTCTAGCTGTTAAGAAGCAGTCTGTCAGGTTCACGATAGCAAAATATTTGATTAATTGAACTGACTAAGAACCACAACAACATGTATCCTATTGTATGGACTTTGGTTTTCGGATGTGACAATTAATGTCCAAAAAAAAAAAAAACACTTTTTCCGTCAATTTTCTTCAATGGATGAAATGATATGACATTGTCCTTAAAAATTTTAGTGATTATTTTAACCATGAGGTTAGTAAATTTATATTATCAGTTATTCTGAGACATACAGTATTCACATTTTGGGGGTGGTGGTGTCGGCCAGAGCCTGTCATTCAGTGGTGCCCCTGGACAGTATGTCAGTCCACTGCAAGACACACACACTCACATTCACTATGGTCAACACAGAGATGCCAATTCACCGACATATAGCTATATTCCTTGTCAAATTAAGTAAGGTAACAGAGAATATGCTGTTGCTTGTATGTGTCATCTCAAAGGAAGAAATATGAAAACATGATGATATTAAATTGGCTGAGGGAATTAAAAAAATGTAGTTGGATATGAGAAATGTGCTCACTGCAAGGAGGGAGTCTTTGTGTAATGGAGCAGCGCTGTGCCAACATTAAAAGAGTGTTTAGATTTGTGTTTAAATTCTGTCCCATCAGTCATAGTTTGGGGAAGAATTATACAACAGTTCTGGCATAAATAGGGACACATTGTAAGTATCCAGAATAAACAAAGCAAAATTATACAATACACTACATCCAGTTTAATGTTTCAATCTGTAGCACATATATAAGCAAAATCCATGGATATAGAGTATGTATGCTTCTAAAAAAGGGGATGTTTAATTTAAAGCATGGAGTGGAATCTATGATTTTATGACACAAAACATATCCAAACAAATGCTGCATGAATATAATTGTTTATTACATGTCATAAATTCTATATATATTTTAATGTAATTCGATATAGCTTTTCAGCCATCTTTGAGAAACAACATGCAGTGGTACTTGCAGCATTATTTTAGGCAAAGAAAAGGGAAGGTAGAGGCTCTATCAGTATTTCAAATGAGAGCAGCATTCTAATTGAGCATATCACAGTAAACCTACAGTATGGTCTGCCACATTTTATTTTTGAAAGCTGTTGAAATCAGCATGCACTCTCTATGATGCATGGATTTTTATGCACACAACATCTTAATAGTCTGTGCTTAAAGATGCATGCTTGCATTAAGCAGCCTTTTGAAATGTTCTATAGACATGTATTGATAGAGTCCTGTGATGTCAATATGGAGAATGTACAGCCGATCTGTAAACTGCAGTTATAAATAACCCTCAAGGCATAGAAATAATGGTGTGTACTATGTATACATATTTGTGTTTCTTATTTTATTTTAGTTTTTCTTATGTTT